CATAAATGACAAACCTGGTTTAGTGATCGATGATTCATTAACCTGGCTTAATGAATCCAATACATGTTCGCTTTCTGTTGGAATGTAATTCGAAGGCGCCGTAATCTTCTCTCTTTTTGATTCATCTATGATTTTTCACACTTGTTATATTTGTGATAGTAAAACTTGAATATGTACAATTTATTTTTAAAATATGTTCTATAAGTACCACTACTCGATGAGTCACCGTATAATTTCGGTTTTTTTATAAGTCTCTTTTTCGAAGAATTCTCTGAATTTCCATTCGGTATAACAATATTGTCGTCTGATGTTGACATTTCACTTATTGCTTTTTCAATCGATCGTGCATGTGGATACGATTCTGTAACATGTTTTTCAATAAATACGAAATTTAGTTTATATTTTAATGTAAGAAATAAATATGAAAAACAAACCATAAGGACCAAATTTCTTATGAAATGCAAATGTGTTCCAGTCATCGCAAGGCAATATCTGTTTGACACAGGCTACAGTAAGCTGTTTACATTTTTTTGGCATTTGAAATGTATCTTGCTCTAGATTTATCCATACTACTGGTACAGTTATACAGTACGCATCATACAACAATACGTAAAACATTCTGAAAAATTATAGATAATACATATACAATAGATAATACATAAACAATATGACTAAAATATATTCCCCTTAAAACCGTTGCACTTCAATATGAAATATTCTTGGATTACATATTTATGAAGTAAATAAATAGTTATTTTAAAGACACTTTTTTAGAGACAACCTGTATATACTAAAATTAATTCTAACATTTACAATTTTTAACAATACAAATAAATAAATATATATAAATAAATAAGACAAAAAATTTATTGTTTTTTTATTAATTACATCACACGTACAAAATTTACATCTCTATTGTAATGAACAAGCATGTCATATAAAGTTCCAAAATTGCTTATAAAGTAATAAATAAATATTATTACTACCAGAAGTGACCTTTCTGCAGCAATACATAATA